CGATAAAGCAACCTTTTCTTTGTATGGATTATTTTCCTGATTTTTTTCCAATTGTTTCACCTCCTCTTCCTCTCTTCGCACTTCACGAATAAACACTTTTATGTCAACTTCCAAAATATATCCAAATGCTGATAATCAAGCAAAGAACAAATACCGTTCATCAAATTTACTCATATAGAAAAGCTCATCTGTCCAAATTATGCATAAAATGTTATGATGTGTACCCTATCTAACACATTTTGTTCTGAAACAAGACTCAAATTTTAACCCTGCATAGTGTAGAGTGTTATCGTGTGGACCGGATATTATATATAAAATATAATTTTACAATTAATTCATCCATCATACCTGAAATTTTTCCATAAAGTTATGAGTTCATTATATTTTGTGTGCTTATAGTCTTCTTTTCAGCAGCTTTTTGAACGTATAAAGTGGAGAGGTAAAGGCTTCAGTTGTTTTAGGTTGTTTCATGAGACATCAGTTGAAATGTGCCGGAGTTTGTCAAAGTGCTGAATTTGAACATTTGCATTAAGGAATATTACCTTAAAGGATATACATGAGCCTTTGGCCTAACCATGAAAACACATGTCACATCCTGGGGAAAGTTTCTTTTTCTTAAAGCCATCACTGAGCTGTAATTTACAGAACTTCCTGTCTTTGGCATACTGTATTGAACAGGAGACAGATGCCTCACTTCCCTAAAATTCCCATAATGCTTCAACTTTATGAGGGCACCCCAAGCTGTGTACTATCCACCATTTGGATATGGGTTCAACCATGTTCTCTAACTCCACTGTTTAGACACACACATCCCAGAAATCCCTATTCATATAAAATTCATGCAAAATGCCTATTCATATAAACATATGTGCAAAATAACCATCTGGACACATTGTATGGTAAAATGGACACGCAGCCTGTGACTATTAATTTTTTTTTAAGTAAATATACAGTAAGAACATTACCCCGCATTCAGTTAAGGAGAATATGTAAATCTCGTGTGTGTGTTTTTTAAATTAATCACATTTGTTTGTTTGTTTATTTTGAGAAATTACATCCACCACTACGTAGTTATCTTCGAATAGACTGATCGGCTGTTTATTTATTTTAATTGTTTGTGTGTTTTATTTATTTATTTCTCATTGGACAGTGGAGCACATGCAGACTATGCAGTTTAGGGGCACGTGGGAGGATGCAATGGCTGGGCGGGGTGACTTCAATCTTAGAGCCCATACATAGGCTACTAACTAAAAATCGCAAGACTGGAATAAAGTTCAATACTATGCGATAAAGCAACCTTTTCTTTGTATGGATTATTTTCCTGATTTTTTTCCAATTGTTTCACCTCCTCTTCCTCTCTTCGCACTTCACGAATAAACAATCACTTTTATGTCAACTTCATCGCCCCACTGCATAAACAATGGCGTGACACACTTTATTTAATATATGGAAAAAAATCAACGCGCATGTTGTCTTAAAACTGTACTTTGTGAATCTTCTGTGTAGCATTTTGAGCAACACCGAAAGTTGCCGGCAGAAGTGTCCCTCTAAACTGATCCAAAGACTGGACAATTTGGAGCTGAATAATAGATAGTGACAAAAACGATAATGAATTAACTTACCTCAGCTCTCGCTTCATGCGTGAAAAACATGACCAGCACAAGAATCAAGGCGCTGTTGGAGAACATTCTGGGAGACGCTCTTAACCCCTTTGTCTAAAAATGCGCAAAACGCTCAAAAGTTCACGCTGTTGATAATTTCTTTGTCTCTTCTTTTGTTACATAATTTAATTTACTGACACACATCTTGCGCTCATTTTGGCTCTTGTCGCGCCGTTGAGACTTATTGTTCCACCCTGCTAGTTCTTTTGCTTACTCCACCCCCCGTTGCAAGACTGACCACCCATTTTTTAGCCCAGAAGGACCACCTTGTGCAGCTATTACTTTCTTCTCTTGATATTTAAGGGACAGCATCGTCTTTATGTTGTCCGATTCCGAGCATGCTTTCTGTGTTAAAACGTTTGCTTGTTTGTCTGTTTGTTTTTCCACGTTTGGATTTTTCATTAATCTGAAAAGAAACCTGTTGCTTCATTGGGAAACAGCATTTGCAAATCTCTACTTTAATATTTAATAATTATCTTTAATTGCTATCGTTTGATATTTAACATATCTTTATAAATAATGCTGTCTATCGTTTTTGCCCTTAATCTTTTAAGGCAAGGTTGTCTATAATGCTTAAAGCAAAGTCAGATGCAGCTTTCTAGTAGGAAATCACTACAATTGTGATGTGGATCCTAATTAAATATTTTCAACGATTACAAATGATGTTCATGGATACCCACTGACGTGGATATAGATTTAAACCACACTACGTTGTATAATGGTGGCAGTTTTTACTTATTTTCTTGCATAAATTAATGTGTAACATACATATCGTACGTCACCATGTACAGCAAAGGGCAAAGTACACAGGAGCATTATTATTAAAAACAAAAGTGGCATCGGACTAGACAATGCAAGCTGGACAGTGGGAAAAAATATGGCAAGTATATAACCATCATCATCATCATCATCATATTTACTTACAGTTTGTTATTCTTGTTACACCTGTGCATGTATTTTGCTTATTGACTGCTTGCCTATTTTTAGGTTCTGGTTCCTAATTTTATCCATCAATAAATTCTAACTAGAATAAAAATCTAACTAGAAGAAAATGCCTTTTAAATAGTGATAGTCTCCTTAACAATAATAGATGTACAGCTCAAGTACACGTTTCTAAGGCAGCAGTACATAAGAACAAGATAAAGCAGGAGACACTTGGAATGGCCAAGTACCAGCCAGGTAAAGGGCAGAAGCATCTCTCTAATGCCAGAGATGCTCGTCAACTTATCCGACAGCGACACATGACATCAAGTGACCTCCAAAAGGGATGGGAAACATTAAGTGCAGGTGTGAAGTGCACTGCTAGGACAGTTCATATCAGGCTCCTAGAAGCGGGAGTGAAGACCCATAAAGCAAGGAAGCAGCCCTTCATTAATGAGAAGCAGGGAAGGACCAGAACACAGGCACATACTCCTAAATTGAAAAAGAAGTGACACAATGAAAATTTTTCTGTGGTCTCTTAATTTTTATCCAGAGCTGTATATCTTTTATTTTGATGGACGGTATCATTATTTAAAAGTAAGATCTTCTAGTAAGATTTTTATATTAAAGTATCACTTACTGCTATTCTGTGTCATCACTTAATTGCCACTGATAAAAGTTGGGCTAAGAAAACAGAAAATCTGCTTTCATCTCAGGATAAAGGCAATTATGTGGAGAAGCTTGTAGCAGACTTCCGTAGTTTTATTCACATGAGGTAAGATTGTTTGTTCTAATTTTGCAAACATCATGGTCTGGCAGCCTCCATTTGAAGACATTTGTTTCCTGAATAGTATTAAAACCACATGTAAATAAATGCATGATGCACTACAAGAGGTGAATTAAGCTAAGAACTTCTTCTTTGTAAATTCTGATTTGAAGGCTCCAATCTGAGGCCTCTCTGATAACAATCTTGTGACACCATCTGCCATGCTCAGTGCTGTGCCAATTATGTGTTTAGAATGTGAGGTTTTGGGAGTTGTTATTTTTAAGTGAATAACTACTTTTAAATAGAAATTGCAACATCTCACAATAATTGCAGACAAAAGCATGAATGTATGTAGTGTAGTGGTTAAGGTTGGACTCATGGAAGGTCTCTTCTGGAGTACATAGGAGGGCAGGTATGTAACCCAAATTTGGCCTGCCAGTTAACTTGCCTTATAAAATGGTGAAAACTTCACCTTGGATCAAACTGGAAAATAAAAATCAGTTGCAACAGAAGAGGATGACAGTAAAAAGCTTAAGGAACATCCTATATTAGGGATCCTGTATAATTTCATTTTGAATGGGTTTTTGTCACCATACTTTACTGTAATGTAGTTTTTTGTTCTTATATTTTCAGGTCTCCAGCCCATAATTTATCCATATGAGGGTATATAAGATAAATGTTAAAAGTATTACAGCAGATATCATGCAGCCAGGTAGTAAAATCAAGGGTTTTGATGTCCCCACAAATATATAATAGTTATATATAAGCGTTACAGTGTGTTAATATTATGTTGTTACTTTTGTGCATTATTAAAAAAAAATTCTACATGCATATATATGCATAATAAAGGTCTGTCTTCCATATAAGTCTCTTTTTAGATGACAGAAGGTTCTGTGCAACATTAGTCTATGCCATGTCTGTATCCACAGTAGATATGTTATCACGTTTGTTAGACAATCTTAGACCATATTGGACAATGGTTCATCACTCAATGGTCTGCATGCACTTAAGATGTATACAGAAACAAAACACAATATAAGGAAAATGTCTGTGTTGCATATTACTCATTCAGAACAGGTTCTGTAAACTAGACTGATACAATGACAATGGAAGCAGTAGTTATACAATAGAAAACAGGATAACAGTTTAAACAAGGTGAATTCATTACCTTTGGCATTAACGTCCCCCACACTCCTACGCTCAGATTCCAGTGCTTTGAGGGAGATGGGGTGGTCTGCAAATAAGCAGGGAGTTTCACAGGGGTCAAATGTATCTGTCTGGTTTTCGGAAAACATGCTTAACAGTTTTACGATGTACCCTGGTTAATCGGAAGCATGCTCTGGCATGAAGCTGTATTTGTGGGTGGCTGTTGTTTTATAAGACATCCTGTCAGGGTCATCAGAAGCATTTTGAAAGTGGGGGGGACACACTGGTAAACAGCGCTGGGTGAACTAATATTTTATGCTAAATGTGAGGGGGACACGTCCCCCTCACATTTAATGGTGGGGATGCCCATGCATCCTGTGTATTTTCTATAGTGTATTTTCCACATCAGAAAATATGGACATTCAGACACGTGCATTTTAACCATCAGATTTCTGTGGATATACATGGAAATATAATTATAGAAAAATAGCGTTTCATACCGAAATTTATGTTAGTCCTGGAAGCCCTAAGTATCACCTATGCATGCAGTCTGAAATAAGAAAGCCAATTTTTATTAGTATATAAAAATGGCCATGTTGCGGAGCTGAATTTCCTTTGGCAACGGTAGGAAATGGCTGTACAGCGGCAACCAAAGCCTGCTGCTGTGCAGACTCAACAATGACTGGAAGAATGTATTGTGTTCTTCTTTGTAGGAAAGAGGAAACTAAGGTCTTTGGTTGTATTTCCATGCAGTGGGCAACGTGTTTTTGTGTCTTTCAGGGGTGTGCTGAATTGCCCACTGTCTCTCTTGGCATGATGTCATCCCATAGCTATGATTAGATCCCACATGTTTTTCCTGTTAGCACTACCCTGGTCCCATAGGACAGCAGATTTGTGCAGTGCTAGAACTGCTGTCCAATGTATACCATACATACATGCACGTTCACATGTTTTCATACTTCTGGAATAGCAATGCAACGTGCTTAGAAACCTCAAAGTATCTTTTATTGAATTCAGATGCTGGAATCATACACTGAGGTGAAATATCACTCTCTTTGGTCATAGTGCAAATACTGAGACATATAAACATTATATAAATATGACATTTTACGACATAGACAATGAGATTGGTGGGGAAGGATTATGCAAACTTAATGCTAAAGTTTGACGTGGAGCAGAACGTGAAATCAACAGATTAATATTGAGAGTTGTGAGTCCAGAGTTATTAGTCCCTTTAACAGATCCAGTCTTAGGCTGGGAGGGGGCAGACTGTTCTAAAAATGCATTTTAGTTATAATTACACAAGTAATGTCAGAAAACCAAAAATAAGCCTGTTACTCATCAACTAATCACAACTATGATTCATCAATCGTGTAAATTATTAGTTTCAGAATATTGGCCTGTTTACCAGACTTTGTGGCTGTAATGTTTAGGGTAACTCTATCAGGTTTAGTGAGAGAGTGTTGCAGAAGTGTCAGGTGAATTCCCAGGAACTATATCTTCATGTTGATCCTTCAGGACCCAGGATCCGTTACTTTACTACTTGCATTGGCTACTGTTAACTTTAGAGTTTACTTGTTTGTTTTGATGGCAATACACAGCACAGGTCCTCAGTACATCTCAGAGTTTATTCAACCTTACACTGCTTCTTGGAATCTTAGAGCTGCCAGTCAGCAATTCTTGTTTATTCCATGAGCGCACTTGAAATCATAAGGCGACCATGCCTTTGCATGTGAGATTATCACCAATACTTTTAAATTTAATTTAAAAACCTACTTATACTCTCTGGCCTTTGGTTGTGATTTATCTTAATTTATCTTAATTTATTTTATTTTTTGTGTAAAATTGTCCCATGTCTCATTTGTCATACCCAGACTCATCCATCAGATGGCCAGGCAGAGAAGCCTAATTTGTCACTCCACAGAACACATTTCCACTGCTCCGGAGTCCAGAGCTTTACACCATTCCATCTGACGCTTGGCATTGCACTTGGAGATGTGAGGCTTGTATGCAGCTGCTCAGACATGGAAGCCCATTCCATGAAGCTCCCAGCACAGTTTTTGCTTGAGTCAATGCCAGAGGAAGTTTGGAACCCTGCAGTTACCGAGTCAACAGAGAGTTGGCTGCTTTTACGCACTATGCACCTCAGCGATCTCGATCTGTTACTTCACATGGTCTTCCACCTCATGGCTGTGTTTCTGTTGTTCTTAAACACTTACATTTTGCAGTAATACCACTTACAGTGGAATATCTAACAGTGAAGAAATTTCACAACCTGACATTGGAAAGGTGGCATCCTATGACAGTACCACACTTCAATTCATTGAGCTTGCTTGATTTTATAGAGCTGTGGTATTGGGTCTGAATGAAACAACTGAATTCAATGATTAAGAGGT